CAGCAGCAGCACTCAGCATGCTAATAATTAAATATATGTTGAGAAGCATTTCTTAAAAGAACTAAACATTTAATAAGCGGAAGCGTATACATTGGTTTAAAGGTGCATTTTACAAATGTCCACAGCCTCAGAGATCGCTGATATCCCGCGGACGAGCGAGACATGAGCCTGGGGGCTACACGGGAGAAGCTCTGTCACCCGTAGACCGAACCTCGACATGCGAAAGCAGAGAAGATCTGCATCTCCAGATCTTAGGGACCTTGAGGGGACACATGGGGTGCAGCATGTGAATGATGTAGGCGGGGGCAAGATGGTTCACTGATTTGTAAGTTAACAATAGGATGTTAAACTGTATTCTATGTGAAATTGGAAGCCAGTGCAGGGAGGCCAAAACGGGTGTAATGATGTGAAAGTGTTCTGGTTAACACCCTAGTGTCGTAAATTTCGCCACAGGGGAGACAAAGGCGGCCAGGCATAGTGCTGGCCAACCACCCCCTCGTGTGCCGATCCGGTCCTTCATAGGTGCTCGCTAACAGCCCTTGCCCCGACACTCTGTTAAGGCTATACGGGGGAAATTTGTCTTTGTCGCCTACCGTGGAGCGGCAGTGTTGGGGTTAGTGCGCTGCATTTTGAATCCAGCCACCCGAGTTCGATTCACGCTCAACGCCAGTGACGATTATCTGAACCGGTCCTGAGTTTCCCCTATGAGTACCTGGTGCGATGTGTAGTAAACATCGCAACTGGGGAGACAAAGGCGGCCGGGCGTGATTCTGGTCCCCCACCCCCTCGTATGCCATGCAGGCCCTTCATAGGTGCTCGCTAACAGCAATTGCCCCAACAGGCAGTTCCAGACTATACGGGGGATCTTTGTCTTTGTTGGGTGACCAACTCCTATGCACACGCACACACACTCCCCACATCTCACACAGCCCCCCCCCCACACACGCCTCCAGCACCCCCACAGTGACACCCCTCCCCACACACGCCTCCAGCACCCCCACATCTCACACAGCACCCCTACCCACACACGCCTCCAGCACCCCCACAGTGACCCCCCTCCCCCCTCCCCACACGCACACACACTCCCCACATTTCACACAGCACCCCCCCACACACGCCTCCAGCACCCCCACAGTGACCCCCCTCCCCACACGCACACACACTCCCCACATCTCACACAGCACCCCCCCCACACACACACACGCCTCCAGCACCCCCACAGTGACCCCCCTCCCCACACACGCCTCCAGCACCCCCACATCTCACACAGCACCCCTACCCACACACGCCTCCAGCACCCCCACAGTGACCCCCCTCCCCCCTCCCCACACGCACACACACTCCCCACATTTCACACAGCACCCCCCCACACACGCCTCCAGCACCCCCACAGTGACCCCCCTCCTCACACGCACACACACTCCCCACATCTCACACAGCACCCCCCCACACACGGCTCCATCACCCCCACAGTGACCCCTCCCCACACACGCCTCCAGCACCCCCACATCTCACACAGCACCCCCCCCCCCACACACACACGCCTCCAGCACCCCCACAGTGACCCCCCTCCCCACACGCACATACACTTCCCACATCTCACACAGCACCCCCCCCACACACGACTCCATCACCCCCACAGTGACCCCTCCCCACACACGCCTCCAGCACCCCCACATCTCACACAGCACCCCCACAGTGACCCCCCTCTTCACACGCACACACACTCCCCACATCTCACACAGCACCCCCTCCCACACACACGCCTCCAGCACCCCCACAGTGACCCCCCTCCCCACACGCACACACACTCCCCACATCTCACACAGCACCCCCCCCCCACACACGACTCCATCACCCCCACAGTGACCCCTCCCCACACACGCCTCCAGCACCCCCACAGTGACCCCCCCCCACACACGCACGCACACACACACGCGCGCGTGTGCGTGTGTGTATATAGCGAGTGGTCGTCGCTGGGTTTTCCACCATTCGTAGCTATGGGGCTGCACTTGTGCGTGTTAATGTTGTTGGTGGGAGCGATGTTGGATGAGGCGGCGTCGGAACTCCCAATTCCGCACCAGGTGAGTCCTGCTGCTGGTCACCACCAGCGGTCGCAAATGCGCGAGTGTCTGAAAAGTTAAATATTCTACCATTGGAACCTCAATTTGCCAGTAGCAAAATATGATAATTGGTTGTTTACCCTTTTATCTGGAAACAAAACTGACACCTTTTTTTTTAAACAAAACATTGTAGCCTGGAATGAGAGAATGCGGCCGTGGAACGATTCAACAAGGACGCACGGCTGTCAACCCACACGATTTACCCCCCCCCCCCCCTATGTTCTTGTACAGGGAAATTGAGTTTTCAGGTCCATACGGTGTATAGCCGTTTCAATACGGGCAAAATAAATGTCAATTTGTTTGTGTTTCTCCCTTGTGATGGGACTCTGTAGGATGAACGTTTAGATTTATAAGGGACACGGGGTGACCATTGATGTCTGAATTGGTGTGTAATAATAAGGTAGGGGCACTTATGAGGGGTTGACAGGTATGAGGACGTGCCCAGTCACTGAAGCTCTGGTGCGCATTCTAAAGTTGGGGTACCTCCCGATTGTTACGGTGTGAAGGAAGTTCAACATTACATTCGTGCCGAGAGTAAGTTAAGTCTGCATTTAATATGCGCTGTTGATTCTTGTTGATTGCATGGTTGAGTGTGTTTTATTTGTACCCTGTATAGTGAAATGCTTCAATCGGCATTACAAGCTTCAATTATAATGTTTTAACAACATATGTATTCATGATATATGTGCATTACAAGACGATTTGATTTGATATCGTTTGAGATGCAGATTGATGCATCAGATGTGACACATGTGTCGTTAAAATCGATTGTGATTACTGGCGAAACGTCGGAATCAGATTGTAAATGTGGCTTGGCTCTTCAACACACCGGTGTGCTGTACTAGTGTAGTGACACAGCGCCGACTGCTGTACAGCAGCAACTGCAGTGAAAACTTAGCGCACACGCTGTTGAGCATATACACGGTTGTGTCAGCAGGGCGGAGGAACTGGGGAAAGGGTCACGGTAGACCTCTAGAAGGGGGGCGCGGCTAGGGCAGAGCCAAGCCGCACCGAGCCAAGTCGCGCCGAGGGGAATAAAAGCAGCGGAGAGCGAGAGCTCTGGGTTGCCGGTTCTGGGAGTGGACTCGTCTCGTCGTCGCTGTCGTCGCCGCCTTCATCGCTGCCGCGTTCGCCCGATCATTGCGCGGCCAAACAGTAGTTGGCTGTCGATGCCGTCGGTGCAACGCAGACAGGGTCGTGTCTGGGCCGGGCCGTACGGTAGCGTGGTCGAGAGAGAGGAGGCCGGAGTTTGTGGTGTGAACTAACAAAAGAGAGAGGGTGCCTCCTGCGACTACCTCGTCTCTGACTGAGAGTGCGCGCCGCACGCCACACGAACACACACGCCGCGAGGGAGAAAGAAGAAGAGAGACGACACTACACTAGTAACGAATTAGCATGTTATGTTTACATGACAAACCTTACTAATTGGCTGTGTCGGGTGGTGGCGGGTTTAACAAACACATTTATAAATTTACGTGATCTAACCCAAAAAACCTGTATTATGGATGATTTTAGTCGCGAAAGCCTACGTGTTAAACTGACGCATAAAATAAGAGTGAAAATTTCATAAAACTGAGATCATCATCATAGGAAGCCAGAATACATTTATAAGGCTAAATTATATAAATAAGTATTAAGCCTGTGAGCGAAATAACAAATCCAGTAACCCGATATACAAATGAGTCATGATTTATGGAAATTTAAAATAATATCCCAGAAGAGAATGCATTTAAATAAATCTAAACAGACGGAGAAGTTACAGCAGTGATGGTTTGTTCCAGACAATAGGGGCGCATCTTATCGTCACGAAGCGGTTGATGTGACGATGGGAACTTGAGAAAGCAGCGTTCTTCACGTGTCTGGGAGACCAATGGGACATGAGGCAATATATATTCATCACAGGCCGTGGGAAGTGGTCCACGGAACATTTTCAGACGAAACTTTTTTTCGTGATTAATTGACAGTGGTCCTCAGGCTCACGATGGTTGGGAACTACTGCACTACACAGACGAGCGCCACCGTTGCGAGATGTTAACTAGCTCGCCTGGCATACATGGTCATGAGTTCGATCCCGACCCTTGACGCCTGCTGTATAGTTGGAGTTTGTATGTTCTCCCCGTGGTCGCGTATATTTTTCTTCAGTTTTCCCCTCCACATTTAGAAACATGCGTTTAGAGTATTTGGCTGCTATAAATTGCCATGGCCTGCTCACTTCTGAAAAAGAGCCGTATAGCTCAGTGGCCCTTACCTGGTAAAAAACATAGTTAAAATAGCTTAAGAGGAGTGTGCACGTATTATCAAGTATTATTTTGAATGCCCTCGGATCTCGGTTAATTATGGGTAAGGCCCATTGATCTCAGCAGCTTTTTCCCCCCAATGACGGTCCTGTAGCACGTGATGTTGTGGCTTGTGGTATAGAGGCACCACAAGACGCGATGCTGGCTCCCAACATTACTTACACCTCTCCCGCGCTCTGCCGCCTTCTCCTCTGGCAAGACAACTTAATCGCAGTAAACAACAAAGTTAAATATAAACAGATTACTCACAAACAACTTTAAACGTTGCGCACCTAAGTAACAGGAGGGAACACCATCCTAATGCTTCCATTTATAAAAACACTAGCTTTGCTACCCGGTTTCGCCCGGGACTTGGATTCACCACACCCGGCCGCCTTTGTCTCCCCAGTGGCGATGTTCACACACCACACCAGTTACTCATTTGAGGCTGAGTCGACCTAGGGGAGGCCCAGGACCAGTTCAAATAATCGTCACCGGTGGTGGCCGTGAGCGCGAATCAAACTGGAGTCGCCGGGTTCGTCGCGCAGCGCGCGAAGCACTACGCATGCGAAGGTGACATGACAGATGTGACGTCACAGCTCACTTACCGTGCAAAAAATATATACATTATTGCGCCCCCCCCCCAAATACCAAAGTCTATTTTTATAATTTTTGCATGGTATACAGTCTGGAAAGTACCCACATGGCAAATTTCAAGTTCGTTGCATGTCGAGAAGTACGCTAAACATTTTGAACAGACACACATATTCACACATATTCACACATTTCCCTTTTATACATATAGATTATTAACATTATTTTTCAAACTTCAACACTTTAATAGCCACTTAATATCCCACCAGTTCTTCAGAGAAGTGTGACTGTATGCTGTGAGCACCACGCAAATGGAACAGGGGTGGACTACCCGGTAATGCTGATGTGACCTCGAACAGGGGATTATTTTTCCCCTGTCCGTATCTAGGTACATAATCCCCGAGGTGGCGTGGTTTGTGCACTGGCCCTCCAGCTCACATCGTGGTCGTTACAGGAGCCTTCTCAGTGTGGGACCGAGACATTCTTGCTGCCATCGCCTCTGTCAGTGGGCTGGACAGCTGCTAACGAAACGAGAACCTGCCTCGCAGAGCAGCCATCGTAGTGAACACTTTGCCTGGGCTTCCAACGCGTACCAGTGTCCTTTACTGGGATCGTGTGTTGAAACGGCAGGGTTGGTGCAGGTGCGTTGTCAGGTACCGTCACCTCTGGTGGGTCACTTTGGGGTTGGGGCTACCCCCGAGGTGCCAGTGGCACGACCGAGGAGTCGTGAGCATTGTACTTGGAGAGTCGCAGGCCCCGTCTCTTATCAGTGGAACTTTTTTTGTCCATCGCGTTCCACAATGTAGGACCTTGGAAAATGACGGTGACCTGCCATGGTTGCCCGCATTGAATGCTTGTTTTCCGGGCAATGGTGCCACCATGGACTGGGTCCCCTGTGAGGAGACCCTGCATTTCCTTCCCGCTCCTCCTCTCATGATGCATTCGCTATTTTGTTTCCCTTTTCCTTGGTCTAGCCTGCGGCGCAGATCTGCTAAGTCATAGACTACTGGCCGCAGAAGCTCTCTGGCAGCTGTACGTAGATTCCGTGACCCGCGGGCCACATGCAGATAATAGGTTGCAGCTCTAAAGTTGTGTTTTTGTCTCATTGGTTCTGAGGTCTAGGAGGGCCAATTGTTTATTTGCACACTTGGTCCTGAGTCACTATGACCGTGTGAATGTCTCTATCCGCGAGGTTGATGATGAATGTGACGTCCAATGGTTGATCCGAAAATCTCGGCAGAAGTCTGCAAATTTTTCGGGAGGTGAACTGGGTTGCGTTATCTGTTCACAGCTTTTTGGGATATTCCATGAAAAACAGAATTGGGCTTTCAGATCATTGATGGTGAGCAATTGATGTGAGGCCGTCGAGGTGGTTCGCCACTATGAACCTTTGAGAAGTAGTTGAAGGTTACAAGGTAGTTGCCAGTCTTGCCACGCCAAAACATGATCTGATGCAACTTAGACCCGCGGCAGGTCTGGTGTCTTTATTGGTCGTAGCGTTTCGCGTTGCTGCTGAGCCTGAAACTCGTTGGGCCCTCGGCTAATCGCTGATAGCGGCCTCCATCTGGGCCACGATCTTGGGCCAGAACAGAAATGTTCCTGGCCCATAGCTTGTACTTCACTATCGCCAGGTGCGAGGCATGGATCTGCATTCGCATTGGCTGACCTCACTGAGAGTGGCACTACGATTTTCGTGCCCTTGTAGATTTATTCTGTCACAGACAGCTCGTCACGGAAGAGCAAGAATGCTGTAGAGCACCTACGATTACGTGTCAGGCCACTCTCTGATTATCGTGGCGTGCAGCTCATGTATCTCCTGCGCTATATGCCTGTTGTAAATGCACCATAGGGGGATGGGGTTCACTCTGATGTAGTCCATGATTAGTGCTAGCTCAATTGTCTGGCACTGCTTCTGGTAGGTTTTCCCGGCTGAGTGCATCAGCGATTGTGAATTTCTGACCCTGGCTTGGATGTCACCGACAAGTCATATTGCTGCAGTCGGAGTAGCGAGATTAAGTGGTTTAAAATATATATAATGAACTTCAATAATTTGTGGGCACTTTCCTCTGTGACTGGCCTGCTGAAGATGTA